AGTCGAGTGCCGTGGCCATCTTGGCAGCGTTGTTATAAACCTGAAAGTGCGTCGTGAGGTTATCGAAATGCGCAGGTGACACGTGTAGCGCGCAGTAGCCGTAATCGGCCAGAAAGCCGACCCGGAAGCGCTCGATCTTTGGCTTCAGTTTGATCGAGTTCCTGCACGGACAAGCGGTCCAACCGGACCAGGATCGCGTCCTCGGTGCCATCGTCGAAGGACGTTGGTTCTATGCACCTGGATGAAGTCGACGTGCGGGTGATCGACGTGTGTCCTGTCCTGAAGCGCCGTCCTTGCGTACTCCCGGGCCGTTTCACGGAGTCCGTGAACGGCCGAATAGAAGCGCGCCATGCGCATGCCGCACAACGCACGCAGATCCGTCCGAGCCAGTTGTTGCGTGACGCGTCGCGCGAACAGCGCGTAGTCCGGACGCGTCACCGTGACGGATTTGTCTAGTTGGTCGAGGGCGTATTTGAAACCAAGTTTGGACGTGCTCGTGAATGCGGGCAGATCGTGCGCCGCTCTCACGAACACGTGCCAAACAAATGCGGTCACCGCGGCGTCCCGCATCGCTTCCCTGTGCTTCTTCGGGTCATTCGGCAAGGGAACGTCCTCGAAGAATGGGCTGTTCGTATCGAGTTGAAAGACGACGAAGATGGGATGGTCGTCTATGTTTCCCATACAAAACTCGTCCCACTGCGCGTTCAATTCCGCCGTTTCGCGAAACGGCGGAACGAAAGTGGGCTCGCGTCTTTGTCGGAATTTAGGCCTCTTTTCTATATATTGGGTGATTTTGACGTTGCGGCACAAGTTTATTTTCGACGGCGTCGTAAATATTTTGGCAATGGAGCCGCAGCGGAACGGTTCGAGCGTCCTCGCGACGACAACCATCGAATCAATGTCGATCGTCGACGTGAGATGTCGCGCGCTGACCGTGCCCAATCGTAATTGTATGGGTTGCGGAATATTATCCGCAACCTCGTCGTCGCTCCCGCTGCCGCTGCCGCTGCCGCTGCTGCGTCTGCTGCTGCTGCTGCTGCTGCTGCTGACTATGCGTCTTCTGCCGCCGCGTCTGCTGCCGCCGCCTCGATTGATCCGGCTACTGCTGCTGCTGCTGACGATGTGTCTTCTGCCGCCGCGTCTGCTGCCGCCCCCTCGATTGGTCGTCCGGTTATTACATCCAGTCGGACGTGGTCTAGCGAAAACGCTGGAAGGTAGGCCAGACCTTGTGTCGGACTCCGGCGTGCCGGAGCCACCAGCGGGTGTTGGTTGACTTTCATTTGATCCTCCTCGCTCCAAGGGAGCCTCGTCTGTTTTTTTTGTAGATTCCATATTTGATCCCACGAGTAGGGACGGAAAATACTACCCCCCGGTTGACGCCCTTCCCGGGGAGAGGGCTGTATACGACGGGGTTCGCCTGGTGCTCCGAAGTCGGTCGCTCGCGACAGGTCTTCCCCCCTGCCATGCATCCCTTCGCCGCGTACCACAGCTTAGGATTAGGGGTGGTTTTTTTATAGAGGTCCACATCCTCGCAAACCCGGGCGGTTAAGCCAAGGTTAGATTCCCCGGTCCCCAGAGACATGACCTTAGGGATTACGGTATGTGCAGCCCGGAGAGGAGGTTTCTCCCCCCCGGTACTTGCTGCGTGTAGTTTTTGAGAGGTCTACAACCCCGCGAACCCGGGCGGTTAAGCCAAGGTTCCCCGGTCC